ATGTGGCTCGGCGGTCGCAGCAAATGATCTGACATTTGGGTGAGATCCTCTCGTGACATCAATGGCACCAACACGGACGTCTTTCGTCGAAGCGGAACATCCAGGGACTGAGCGCCGGCAGATGGAGGTCGATTGCTTTTGAATTCATCTTTTTCCGCTGAAAGTGAACATATCATTCGAAAATTGCTGGGAGCTTTATTAGGGTTACATTGAGGACATAAGAAGTGATGTGAGCGCTACGGTAGATGGAAGCCATTCGGTGGCGCACACCTTCTGCTGACCTGTGCTTCTTCTCAAAGACACTGCTACCTTGCACTTATTAATTCTTGAGGTCATCACATTCGCCCTGCCCGACGAATTTTTCGTTTACACTCAAAACTAAGTACCGCTATCTCAACAAGAAAACGCAGAAGAGCAGTAAATAGGCAACGCTAGCTGCCCTTATCAACTACAATAGCCGCGATGTGTTCGAAGCGTTTAATGAGTCGAGTGTTGAGAACTAACATTTAGCCTAGTCTTGTTTTAAAGGTTGACATAACTTGAGGGCGAGTTGAGAAGTTACGCAGTCATATAATGGAAAAACTATTACCCTTATTTCGGGAAACGTGGATAGTCCTAGATAAAGGCAAAGACACTTTTTTCTTTGGCTCGTACTTTGTGAGTGTTCAGTCCGCAATCCACATCTTTCATTTCCAGTTTAGAGGGAGTTGTACATCAGTTCTACAACAGGGAAAGAAGGAGCGGAATGCAAAATTTCGGGCTCCCCCACTTTCTTCACGATTTGGGGCGCGGCCGCGGCAAACCCGCGGCGTTCGCGGCCGAGTAGTGCGGCATCAGCTTGCCTGAGTATTCGACGTTACATTACGTGTTAGTTCATCGATCGTTAGTAATGTAACGTCGAATACTCAGGCAAGCTGATGCCGTACTACTCGGCGCGAACGCGCGATGTTTGCCGCGGGCCGCAGCCCAAATCGTGAAAGACATGTGCAGGCATAACATTGGGTACCCCCCAGGAGGCCCGTCGCGCGGCAAAATGCCGATTCAGCGGACGAGTTGCGCGCGTATTAGGGAAATCGCGTCAAGTTAAATAGAATGTCCCATTGCACGTCCTTCATCGCACATCACGCGCCGCGACTCGTCCGCCGACTCGGCCTTCTTGCCGCGCGATGGGCCTCCTGGGGTACCCAAACTCAGTGAGGCTTCGGCGTGTGGGCACAGTTGAACGGAGCAAAACTGGACTTATTTGGATATTAGTATAGTAGCATCCATCTTGGTCTAATACGAGTAATCAACAACATCGCTATTGCCTAACCCATCACCAGGATCAACCGTGCGTTTCGCAGATTTCGAAAAATTAACGACCCCCTTACCTCATCGTCAGCCTTAGGGAGATCCCCCCAAATAGGACCCCCTTGTCCCCATCCCCGACCACCACCATCACCATCATGGCCGTTTCTCAAGTATTCAATTCTGAGAATAGCCGACACAATACAACTCCACAATACAAGTCCGCCTACTTTTTTTTCGATCCAAAACGGCTGCACCCCGGGGAGGGGAGGGAGAAATATGTCTAAATTTTGTTTACTGATTTTAAAAAAGAAAAATCCTTCCATTTTTCTCATTTAACGCTTCTTTCGTGAAGTTTTCCTCAAAATCGTCAGAAAACTGCTCAAACTCGATCCTTTCTCTTACCACCACAACCCCTTCAACTTCCGAAAATTCAACCCCTCTTCTATATTTTGAACTTCACCAGCTCGAAACACGACCCCTCTACAAAAAACTCAAATACGACTCCCCTTGGTTCAGAACTGCGCAAAGCAGGCTTTACTCTGCCCACCACCATTACAAACGTGAAGATTTGATATTGATAGAGATGTTAATGTGTGAAAGCCCACGGGTGCAGTTAATCCAGTGAAGTTAAATTATAAGTATGATCGGTAATTCTTATTGAAAACTTACGGCTATCGTTCAAGAGCGCAGTGATCACTTTGTGACCTAAAAGCTTAGCCACATGAACGGGTGTTCGACGATTGCATCAAATTTAGCGCATCTTACCTTGCTCGGCGAGAAATTGATCCCACATCGTGTCGACAACTTCGGTACAGATCAACACACCCGAATGGATGGTGATCATTCGCAGCACGAACACCCCGTCCATTTTCACGAAATCACGAACAAACTGAAAATATGCAAAATATTCAAAATATTCACCAGCAAAGGCGATGGTGGTGCAGCCGCACATGGCGCCGCTGACCCGCGCATGGTGCAAAGATCAAGTCCCGAAGCAAAGAAAGAATCCGAAGAAGAATCTCGCCCAGATCACTCAATGTTATGTTCGAATACTGATAGCAGATCCGTTGGGGAGAAGAAAAATCACTGAATTGTATATGGGCTGCTCCCCCCCCCCCCCCACCCTCCGCCCAGCCCAGTTCATTGTATAGGCCAAATAGCCTTCTGACGCCATTACGGCTCAGAAAGGGAATCAGAAAGAGATTGATAATAGCGGATCATTTCAACCCTCTTATTATTTGTATATCCTCATTGAATAAATCGATATTTTGTCATATGATAAAGCTTACCTCATCTAACTCGACAGTGAAATTCCGCTGTTTGAAAGACACATCAGCAAGTTCCAGACGTCGTGCAATAAACCTATGCAGTCATTCTTTGCTAGTTTTGAATTGGCTTTGAGATTTGTAACAAAATTAAAGGGTAATGCAGAGTTTGGAACTCGAAAAAGTTTTCCTTAATTTTTTCAAAACTCACTTTTTCCTCTGATTAAATGGTAACGAAGAAAATATCCACGACATGATACTTCCGAACGAAATCATAGCCAGTAGTGTGTACCATAGCCAGAGAAGAAGAAATATCTAAATTTATGACGTGTGGCTGTGATAAATGTGAACAACCACAATTTTTCTTTTTTTTTGGTAGTGTAGCCATCAAACATTGTGTCTGAGCCGGCTTCAATCATAAAGAAAGCGATTTTGATAAAGAGGGAGTGCATCGGGGAAATACGTGGGCCACATAAAGCAGTAGCTTGGCTGCCAGGAAGCGAGCCGTCACGCTTTAACGACCAAAGCTGCTCTTGTTGCCAGTCAACATTTGAAACGATCCAGCCCAGAAGCGTCCCGCCTTTAGTCGCAGTTTGTGTTTAGGGAAGTGTGGCAGTCAGCGACAATAAATAGAAGGAAATTTCGACTGAGGCACGGTTGGATGGTGCTCGCCAAAACGCGTTGCGGTGAACTCGTCCATATGTCTCCGTATTAGGCACCGTCCCAGCGAAAACTAGCGGCCCGAGTACACCCATGTGTCCCGTTTGTGCTCTCTTTACGGATTTCTCTGTTTTTTCTCCAGCTGGCGTACAATTGAGCCCCACGTGCGCCTAACCACTTCAGAAGCTATTGTAATTGGCTGCTGTCAGGTCTATATAATTCAAAATGTCGAGTCATTGCGCTATCTAACGATAAGAGATGAACGGATTTGGATGACAGGGCATTGTTGGCTAGAGGTATGTCATCATTACGATTTCTCTGCGCTTTTCTCACGCCGGGTGATGGCTCGTTCTTCTCGCCTTTTTTTCATCACAGGCCAGCTTGCGCACTTGTTTCATATTACAGGTCACTGGATAGTCAGTTTCAGGTGACAATCCTACTGTGGGGAGCAGAAAACTGAGTACGAAATGTCAAGAACGGCTGAAGTCAACCTCAGAACAATAGCCCCTAACATATATTTTGTGGGCCTTTAGTATTTGGCGAGAGAATCACCGAGTTTAACTGAATCGCCTTGAAACAAAAACGTTAACTTCAGACATAAGTCAATAGGTGTAAGCGCAACACTACCCTGAATGTCTAAAATCGCCAAAGCTTGACCTTTGGCTTCAGTTAATAGCGCAGACCCCGGGCGCCACCTGACCCAGAAGTGCACTAGAAGCGTTACCTCAAAATACAGCATGTACTGAGAGAATTTAACCTTTCGTGAAAATAGTTGCTCCCAGCACAAAACATTGTGGCAGTGGTGGCGCTGCCGATTGTCGCGAGAAATACGAAATTTCCATATCACACAGTGTAGACGAGCGGACAATTCGGTGAATTCCGTCAACAGAGCCTGAACGAGTAGCGACATCTGTTTTCATTTGAAAGGTCCCATCGATTAGTACTACTAAGCCACACAGAAGAGCTAATTGCAGACAACAAATCAAATCAAGGATAGATCTAAACCAACAATTGAGATTTTGAGCCCAACTGTCTAACGCTTGAATCAAATCATACGCTGTTCCGTGACGCAGATCGCGCATAAATACATGCATAGCCATAAACCCTTGAAGAATTCGTTCCAAGGACGCCCGGACTCAGAAGAAACATCTGCCAATATGGGAGGAAACAAATTTACGAAGAAGTATTGATCCAAAGATATAAAGCGAAATAGGAAAAAAGGTTTGGGGTCTATACAGTACGCCATGATTAGGATCGCATGCTTCCAATATTCATTAAGAAATCTGTAGTTACACATCGAATCGATCGATGGCGATATAGCGGCCTCCGATCTAAAGGGGTTAGCAGACGGAATGTTGGTGTTTACGTCCCATTATTAGGCACCATTGACGCGAAAAAAGTGTTAATGGAAGCCATATGGTCTGGGCTCGATGTATCGAGGCCGCGCTCTTGGAGGTACGAATCTTTGTCACGGCATCTCAGCCGAGATATGGCTGAAAGCGGAGATGTTACTATTAGAAGCGCATTCTATTCTTGTATGGGAGCCGATGTTTTCATACATTCTGTGATATCAAATGGCGGTCAGCCAATGCTTTCTGCGAATCCGATGGGCATCGCTTATTTGTGGATAGAGTGAATCGAACAACAACAGACTAAAGAAGTTATCATAATGCTTTCAAATATGTCGACAATTTTGAGTAAAAGTTGGATAGATGGCGTGTCCTAAACGAGTTTGTCAACGTCTGAGTCAATATTTCTTATAGTGTCTGTCAAATATTCACTCACTTGTACCAATACATTGATAAGGAAAAGCAGCTTGATTCCGAGATAGAGATACGTGAGGTAGGCCTCGTAAAAGCGAAGATTGAGAAATTTCAAGATCCTTGAAATAGAAGAGACGAGAATCGAAGAGTTGTACAGGAAATGAAGGCGAAATTGAGCAATTACCGTACTTATGGTGATAAGGGTGAGTGGAGCCGAACCGAAATCGATGGTTAAACACAGAAGGACAAATGCATGGCCAGCCCGTTAATATTTGCACGACGAGCAGCTGGAAACCTTCTTTGAAATTTGATGAAACTGAGAAAACATTGTTTTGGTTATCAACTATCACATATGTGTACACATCCAATGCATGTGAGCTCTCTGCGCTTGTGCAGATGTGTGTCATTAGGTCACGGGGCGACATCGCACATTGAGCCTTGAGCGTGTTTTGCGAACACACATGTAAGGGGTCGCATTTGTCGAGCGTGGGAGGGGAGGTCGCCTTCAGCGGAAGGGCAGTGGAAGGAACTTTGGTGAGGCAAATCTAGAGAATCCCACAAAATTTTAGGATTTTTACCACTGCATTTCAGAATTTGTACTTTTCACGGTTGCAGTATGAGCTCCTCCATTGCTCACTTTCGTGATGAATCTCTTCAAATGACCATGTCACGCTGATATGTGTCAATTGTTGTTTCGCTCGAGATGAAGGAAGAGTTCAGAGCCAGAAGTCATGGTGGGAGTAGGAGGATGGGGCTGGTATGGGACCACTTTCCGCTACGCGAAATTTGACTCGGTTTGGGTGCTTTCTATGCATAGCATTCCTCGAACGTTAAAGGGGTGGAGACGGCGAGCTAATAGTGCATTGATGAGGGCGGGAGTCGGAGGGACGCGACCATGCGTCCGCGTGCACCGAATCTGCGCGACGTCGCGAAGTGACTTATTGCTACATACCCTTGCAAACACAATGCAACACGTCTAGTCTCAGCTTCCAGCCCATGCGAATGTGACCCTTAAAAGTCTCCTTCCTTACGTAGGAGTCTTGACTCACCTGGTTGAACGTTGGATTTGTCGTTAGCAAAGCTCATGATGTCCTTTAATCGTATACCTGAACATGAAGCATTTGGATGCATATATGAGGTAAATATAAAAGAAATGTCACCGCATACCCTTTTCTCCAGTAAATATTAGTCAATAATTCAAAGAAGAAAGATCAGATTTAAACCAGATGGAAATGCTTAAAAGCCTTTAGCCTTTACCCGATTTGTCGTAGAGAAGTCTCCACAGTAGACACGGTGAGTAGAACATAAATGCGACGATTACCAAATAAAATGGAACCCACTGATAATATGAGACCTGAAACAAAATGATCGTGGGAACATTTACTTTGCCGCCGGCATCACATAAGTAGTAACAAGTCTGTTTATGTTATTTAGTCATGTTCGAACAATGCATTGGGCGTGGTTCACTAGTTGGAAAAGACCTAAAAAACCTAAAAGGGACCGACTAGGTTCGCATCGGGAAAATTTACTTCGTAATGCTAGCGGTAGCAGGGTCGTATAGCAGGAGTTAACTGGATGCATTGGTAAAACGGCGTACAAAGCTACTATGTAGGGCTGAAGACTCGTACCCAGCAACAATGATAAAATCGGGCATGCACAAGTGTTGTACTGTTTGTCTAGCCCTGTCTCATCCCGTGCGCTTTTCTGAGTCTCCGATCTGTCTGGGGCGTCTGGCTTGATGGTGCTCACTTTTTAAAGATCTTCTCCTGATTTGTCACCGACGCATAAACATCATCTCAGTGTTGCGGTCCATTTTTTAATTCCTTTCTATCTTCGTGTGCGGTCTACAGTCGCAACAACTAAGTGTATTTTATTCAGAGCGACAGACCAGCACCTAGTATTTAAGCGCGGGTAGTGCAGGAGTGTTACCTAAGGAAGGAAACAATAAAACGATGGCGCGAATAGTGGCCAACCCAGAAAAGGGGTACACTTGCTGACTAGAAGGAGGCGATTGCTAGGAGCCGAAGAGCTTTCAGGATACGACGACATGATATCCAGGGTGACTGTCGGATTTAATCCACAAATCTCTCTCTTATCGTCAAGGTACTCTTCGCCCTTGTCGTTCGTATCTCTGTCCGCTTGGTGTCTTCTCCATTGTAGTAGAGCTTGACACCTTCCCCGATTTCCCTGGCCTTAGCACCTTTCCATCGCGTCTCCTGAAGGCATCAGGACTTGGATCTTTCTGCGCGTCATCAAATCAGCAACCTCTCGGGAATTCCCAGTTAGCGATCCTACCTTTAGAGCGTCCAATTAAACTAGCTTTCTTTGCGCGAGCAGCCGTTCCTTCCTTAGAGTAGCCCTCGCATACTGACCACAGAACTCGGGCGGGGGTTCTGCGCGCCACTTCCGGGTGACGTCCTAGCTTTATCACTGATTCCTTTTTCGACTTTAGACATATTTGTTGTGACGGGGGTCTTCATCAGCCGGCCTGTCAACCTGGGCCTGACGCTGGTACTAGAACCATTTTTGCAATTTTTGCAAGGCATGGTTTAGAGCCTCGGCAGGGATCGAACTCGCGGTTTTTCAGAGGTGCAGACATGAGTCTAACCTCTTAACCACTCGGCTATCCCTGCCTTCCTCATGCAGTGATTTCTTATAATGCCATATTCGGTGTTCTTAAGCTATTCAACAGATTTTACTTTTTTCCTGAAATCCTTCTTCGATTGTCGTTTTTATTCAGAGGGTTTTGATAATTCCTTGAAAATCCTTACTTTATTCTCCTATCCTATCTACTGCTTCACAACTGAGCTCCACTACCTACATATGCAAGTAATCGTGAAATGAGCATTTAACAAGAGGAGAAACACTATTCGCATCTTAGCACGAACCGCGAAATGACTTGGGGTGAGCAATGGACCACCAAAAGGTGACTAATATCACTAAAAGTTGGGATTTCAGAACCATGGGAAGAAAAAAACGAAACTAACCATGGTTTTGCCTCTGTCCTGGACTTCTGGTAAATTTGCGTCTTCAAACGGCGCAAAATAGGTATTGCGTGCCCAGCAGTACATTTCTGCAAAACAGTTCATCTCTCATTTGTACACAATCACGACAACTGTATAGCGTAATCAAATGCCTTACAACAAGTGATCTCCTGCAAAGAAGCAGTTGCAGGAGTTTTCAGTGAGTTCAAAACTCAACTGTCACCAAATTTTTTCCAACATCTTTCCATTTACACGTAATCTCATGCACTGATTCATGGTGATACTTGAAGCAAGATCATGGTATAAGGGCAGACGGTAATCATAAGCATCTGATGTAATAAAGCCTTTTTTCGGGATGTGCCATGTCCGCGACTCTGCTTAAAGGCAAAGTTCGGGCTCAGACCCACTTAAGTGAGCCTTTACTGTGGCTAGAAGCGCTAGGTACGCAAGTGCAGAGGTCGCGTCACTTCCCTACTTCGAAAACTTAGACGCTAGGCGCTAAGAACTTTGACACGCTCCACCTGTTGCGACACGCTCCGCCCACCGCTCGATATCTTGTCTGCGTCGCTAACTT